ATTTTGAACAGTGTTTCGCTCTGCAACATACGTGCTATATCCGTGGCGGTTTATTGCATGAAGCGGCACCGGATGGCACTTGGTCCATAGCAGTTTCCGCGTATTTTTTTACCGCAATGGACATAATAGGTCCGTTGCGGTTTTTAGTACACGCCGTCCAAAAAATTCGGTCGGTACTGAGCCTTTGGGTGTAGTAGCTTCCATATATATATATATATGGAAAAAATTCATGTATACCCATGTGCGTACCGCTATAGTAAACGTCTAATGACCCAGATCGAATCTGGGCCGATCTGATGGTCACGGTTGTCCACGAGTGTTTGTATTTAAATATTTTTTCTACAAATTAAAATGATCTGAAATTTGAAGCGTATGTACATATTAGTGAGGCGCACCTAATAAATATAAAAAAAAAAATTCAAACACCAAATTTTACCAAAATACCCCTGAAACTTTTCAAGGGTAGTTTGGTCAATTTATTTCATGTAAAATATTTGTTTGATATTTTTCGTAGATTTGCCTATTTTTTATGAATACACATTCCAAATTTCAGGTCATTTTGATTTGTAAAAAAAAAATGAAAAATAAAACACCATTAGACATCAGTGATTGTCAAATCGACCTGTATTTAATTTGGGCCGTTTGGTATTTACTGTGGCGGTACACGAATTGGCATACCATAACATCTTCCATATATATGTATATGTATATATATAAAGAAAATTACAAAAACCCCCTTCAAGTATATGATCTATGCAACTTATCCCCTAGCTAACCTTTCCTCTCATTTTTTTTCCCACAACCATCTTTCCTCACAAAAACCCCCCAATCCAAAACAAGAAAAAAAAAGATTAAACTACCCCCCTCTCTCTCCTCGTGGCTTTTACCCACGACTCTCTTCCCATGCCCTCTGATAGTCCATTTAAACACTACGACAATGAAGACATGCGCTCCGACAATGCAAGGACTCGCTCCGGCAGTATATGTTCTGAAGCAATAGTGCCCTGAAGGTTGAATAAGTCGCTCCGACAATGAGGACATACGCTCCGACAGTAGACCTTCTGGTGCCACATCGTTCCGATGGTTGAATAGGTCACTCCGGCAATAAAGACAAGCGCTTCAAGAGTACTAATACATGCTCTAGGAGTACACCTTCTACATTTTAATGTTACAACCTTAAATCGATTTTTACCTAGGGGTATTTCTAAAATTTTCTGAAAAATATTGGAAAATATGAGTGAGTATTAATGGCCAAAACATTTTAATCTTTACCATAATATAAAGATATAAAAATAACATGGTGCAGTTGGCATACGGATGTCATCTGTAGCTGTAGAGGGTAAG